TGTGCCGTCGAGTCAGCCCTGACTCATAGCGACCCCTCCTTGGGTTTCCGAGGCAGTATCACTACGGAAGTAGGATTGCCAAACCTTCCTTCCGAGGAGTGGCTGGTGGGTTTGAACCGCCAGCCTTGTGTAGCAGTCAAGTGCCTTAGCCACTATGCTACCAGAGCTCCCGATTTGAAAGATAGCCACGTTTTATCTAAAATGCTCTTCCTTTTGAGCATTTGACACCGATTATTTGCATGTAGGGTTTTTTTGTGAACAGTTTCATTTCTTTTTCTCAGCGTATTTGACAGGGACACTTTGAAAGGGTATTTCTCAAGGTCTGGGTCATGCAGAGCTGGAGAGAGCAGCGAGTGTTTTCCTGCTTTCTTGTGCCGTTGCCGTTTGACGGTGCTGGCAGGTCACAGTAAGTCTCCGGGTAGAGAGCCGGAGAGCAGAGTCTGCGGCTCGTGCACTGTCGTAGGACGCTTAGCCGTTGTAGGACTTTAGTTCTGCGACCCTTGAAGCAGAGTGAGGCATTGTCACTGATGTGTCTCGTGCCTTTTGTTTGTCCATCATCATTAACGGATATGAGCCACTGCACCGACCTACAAGGTAGCAGTGTAAGTGCAGAAAGGCGAGATTGTACACTCTACAAGGGAAAACTTACTTTGGACAAAAAGCAATGAACGTATTTATAAATTATATTGCACATCCTCAAAGAAACGGGCTCCACAGTTAGGCTCCTTTTCTCCTGAGATGGTGCACTGAGGGCCAGCACGGGCATTTCGCGTCTGTACTCTTCCCCAGTGTTCTTTAATTCAGACTTTGTACCACATAGTGTGGTTGTCTGTTGTTTCCTTGACTCTGATTGATAATGGGACTTTTTTCCTTTAGGATATAGAAAAAGCCTATGAGATTGTCTGTCAAGAGGGGTCCAACTTAAACCCAGACCTGGGGGAACTGGTGGTGGTTCCCTTATACCCGAAAGAGAAGTGTGCACTCTTCAAACCGAATGATGAGACGGAGAAGCGAGGCCACGCTTATCAGAGGAGGGTGGTGCTGACCTCAGGCTCGGGAGCATCTCTCATCTACAGCAACACCATCAGATTCGTTATTGACGTGGGCGTGGAGAGGAGAAAGGTAAC